ATCTCAAGACTTTGGATCAAACATCTTCTCTTCATTGTGCACCGTTTGGAGGTATAAATCTCCAAACTTGGCTTGTGTTTCTTTAGATCTTAGTTAAGCCTTGATTTTTATCCCTTTTGTCCCAAAACCAAGAGCTTGGTGAGTAAGAGGTACTCCAAAGCCTTTAAGGTGCCATTTTAGGCGTTTGAAGGCATTTTAAATCATAAAAATGCAAGCTTGGATCTTGATTTGTCCCCATGCAAAAGTTATAGTGTAGAATAGGTTTGAGTAAGCTAGGTTTTTAGTGTTGGGCTTCTTGTAGCCATGCAAAGGCACAAAGTTTGCAACTTTATGGCCTAAGGGGTCTTATTAATCTCAGATCTGAATTTTGGTCGTAAGGTCTTAAGGAATTAAGACCTTAGCATGAGTTTTGCCTTAGGGGTGCGTACGTTGCGCGTAATTCCCAGTATGTCGTGCGTACTGCACCTCAATCGCAATCATTTCCCGCTTCGGTCGAGTACAATGTGCGTACCAGTTGCAACACGGGGCATACGGCCCAGTCCAAATTTGTTGATTTTGGGCCTCTATTGTTATGCTTTGCTTGTTGGGCTTGGACCATAAATTTTCATGGTAATGGGTTACTTCTGATTTTGGGCCCATTTTGGACTTTGGTTATCTTTGGGGTTGGGCCTAGGAGATTTTATTGGGCTTAAAAGAAAAGGATTAATTGGCCCTTTTTACTTTGGACACTTGGAGAGTAATGTTGATTTTTAGTTATGGGTTGTGTCCCAATTACTAAATGGGACTTTGTTTGTTTAGTTAGCACAAGGATTTTTCTAGTCTAGCAACTCAAGTATTTTTATGGTTTTTCAGTAGTTTAGGTGAGTTTCCTCACTAGATCCATGGGTCGGAGGCACTAATGCTGGCCCATTGCTTGTTATGTGGAATGCTAGTCGTCTTTGTGATAATTGCATGAAAGACCAATATCTGGCCCCTGACAATTGTATTAAAGACTAGGATCTGATCTTTGACACTTGTATGTAAGACTTGGATTTGGCCCTCGGTATTGCAAGGAAAGATCATGGGGGTAACCCATGACACTCGCATGTAAGACCGAGGTTTGGCCCTCAACATTACAAGGAAGGACCATGGGGGTAGACCATGGCACTTATACGTTTGTGTATGTGGTATTCTGGGGAACTCGCTAAGCTTTATGATTACAGTTTACGTTTATGGTTTCTCGTACTTTCAATTGGAAATGGAGGGGACTGACGTGATGACTAAACATCCTCCCCTCGTGGTTTCCACATTTTAAATAATTTGTACTCTAATGTTTTAATACTATGATTTTGATGTGGGTTTGAACAATTAATGAATTACTTGATTGACTTTTAAATGAAATTTTTTATTAAGTTGGTATCAGAGCCTTAGTTTGAGGGAATCCGACACACTTTCGGGTGTGAAAGGACTCAAATTGAGGAAATGTTAATTTTCTTAAGAAAATAAAATTTAAACTCCTAAAAAGGTTTTATCAAAAGAAGGGGGTATGATGTGTGCGATCAGTCGAGCTCAAGTAAGTGGTTCCCAAAATTTCCCATTCTTCTATGTTATTATTAGTGTGCTTGATATAAAAATTACATGCTAGATTAGGGTTAAGGATACCTTCAGGAATCATATGATAGAATTGCATGATTCGTGTGATGCATTATAGCTAGTAGAACTTGATGCTATGTATTACTTGGAATTGATATCGGCTTAGTTATTTGCTAAGTGTATGCTTTCAAAGTTGTATATGTTTAGGATTATATAGCTCTAAAATAATTGATTAAACCTTATTTCCTGTTCCTTGTTTGGTTGTGGAATTAGGGTAGAATCTTCATTTGACAGTTTATGTGATCCTATTTTTTGTGTAACTTGCATGCATAAGGCAAGTAACAATGTTGATTGAGATTCTTGGTACTGCAAGTGGTGAGAGTTGAGATTTACTAGGAGATTCTAGGATATGTATGTTGTGTAGCATAGGATTGGTTTATGGTTGTAGTGTGGTAACTTAGAGGAATCATGATTGACTTTAAGGAAGGTATAGGTAGGTGTGGAAGGTAGTATTGGGCCCATACTACCGGAAGCACAGGACCAGTACCTAAGACAAGAGTATATCTAACAACTCTAAGGAGGTATTTGTGATGGGAAAATTTCCTCGAGTCATAAAATGATTGTTTATATGTTGTGTTTCAATTTGAGGATGGTGTTGATTAATCGAGGAGGTTCAGGTTTAGGCTTTGGTTTAGGTGCGAAACCAATTGATGAGAGGTTGTGCGAGTTTATTTTGGCTAAGGTTACTCGCGGTATCTTGGATGTTACCCATATGTTCCTTGGTACCATAAAGGAGGGGATTATGGAATTGATGGATGAGAGGCTCATGTATTTTCGAGTTGAGATTACTGTGGGTCATATTGGAGATGGAGCTCCCTTATTATGTGAGTTTAAGGCTTGTGGAGCTTGTGAATTCTTTGGGGCTAAGGACCCCATCGCTAGCCGTAGATGGATCAATGACATGGAGAATTCTCAGCGGATGAGCTTGCTGAGAGATAGGGCGTGCCATTGGTGGGAGGAGGTTACCTGAGCTGTAGGGATGACGACAATGGCAGTGATGTCCTGGGAGGACATTGTTCAAAAATTTTAGAGGGAGTTTGCACTAGCTATCCAGGTGCAGTAGCTGGCGAGGGAGTTCTAGGACCTTCCCCAAACTACAAAGATTGTGGCTGAGATTACCGCCAAATTTAGGGAAAGGGCTTTGCTGGTCCTGCGGTACGCTGAGGATGAGGAGATGAGGAAGACGAGATACCCTGACATGTTTGATGGGTTATGAGCATACAAAAATCCTAGGTGTGCGTGCAACCCTAGATTTGATCTACGTTTTCTGTAATTGAACATACAATAAGAAAACGGATGTAGAAACCCTAGAACACTAGTATATAATAATAATAAAAATACACAATTAGGGTTACAAAACATACCTTTGATTGTTATACTGAAATAACAATTCAATTCCTTAGCGTTATTGAGACTTTGAGAACAAGTGTCACAATTGTCACTCCTCTAGTGGCTCATACCCAACACTAGCAATTGAAGAAGATTGGCGTTACACTAGACTTTCTAGAATAGTCCGTGGTTGTCATATATACTCTGCTAGATGACTAGGCTACCACTTGGGTCAAGGCTTCTCATCGTTAAGGTCAAGGCTTCTCATCATCTTTATCATCTTTCACCTTTCATCATCTTTCATCTACCCATCCTTACCCATCATAATTATAGCTATGAAATTTATATACAACTTAAATCAAATAAACCATGCATATTTTGTTCATCCAACATAGATATCAAGAACACAGATAATATGCACACATAGCACATAATTTATATTAAATACTTCATATCTATATGTAAGATGAAAGTAGCTATGCACTCACTTGTTAAAGTAATGATTCCAAACTCGGGAAACGCTTCGCTTCTAACGATTCTAATTTCCTTCGACGAAACCTAGTATTATTACCACTAGATTTTAGTCTAATATTTATTGCGACTATTTACGAGTGATATTGTTTTATAAGTGTTAAATAATAATTTTCAGCCACTAGGTACAGACAGGGGCTAGACATAAAACACTAGAGGGCAGGGACCATTTTGGCATTATAACACTTCTGAAATCCAACAACCTTATGCAGCCCTTCAAACCAAATTCCGCATACTACGAGTAGTTAAAAGATATTATAATAACACTTTTTATGTTATTATATATATATATATATATATATATATATATATATATATATATATATATATATTATAAGTTCATAATAACGATATTGAACTTAAACATAAGTTATACTTAAAGTAGGGTAAGCATAACTCAATTACTAGGAGGTTTGGCTAGGAACTGGGCTCTATGGGGGCAAAAATTCCGAGCCAAAAACTCTTCTACTCGGGGCCTTTTGGCGCTCCGGGACTTACGTTTTAGCACTTGGGAAGTACTAAGCGTATGGAGGGGTTTAGAGAGAAGTTAGAGAGAAAGTGAGAAAGGTAATGTGTGAAGAAAATGGGAGAATCTCACATGCTATTTATAGGCTGGAAGTTGGACCAACTCGATGAGTTCTGAGCCTCCAAATCGTTGATTTGAGTGCTAAGTGTCACCATCTGGTGGCAAGGCGTGGGGAGGAAGCAATGGTCAGGATTGTGCCACGTGTCATTCGCAGATTACTCTAAAATCTAATTATCTTCTAAAATCCATAACATTTTCATATGAGCTCCGTTTTTGACATTATTTATATCCACACATAGGCCGAAACATGATCTATAACTTTCATTTAGACTCCATTGGCTAATTTTTAGTATATTTTTAAAGTTATATTTTAATAGGCCAGGATAGGTGAAGCCCGTTAAAAATTCATAACTTTGTCATCTGACGTCCGTTTTCGGCTGCCTTTATATCATTAAGCTCTTATTAACTAGATATTCAATTGTCATTTAGGTTGTATCAGCTAAAAATTGATCGATCTAATATTCGAATTTCGGGCTGCATACTACTATGCTAAATCTTAGAAAAATCATAACTTCCTCATACGAAGTCAGATTTGGACGTTATTTTTATGCATGCTATCGGTTTAACATATACTATGACTTTCTTTTAGATCTCTAAGTCCAAAAAAGTATTTTATCATAAACTCAATTTTTACGATTCTCGTGTCATGCCGGTTTTGCCGTAAAACTTCGACAGGTCATAACTTCTTCGTTTAACTCGGATTTCAGCGTTCTTTATATGCACGGAACCTTTCTGACATATACTATAACTTGGTTAAGATTATTAATTATAAATAATATTTTATCAAAAAGTCATTTTTAATGGTTATTATCTCTAAATTAACTAGCTTGAATATGCGAGCCTTATAGAAGAAGATTATGATTTTCCTGTTGTTGAGCTGTATGGACCACCTCTTCCTTTCCCATATCGTGCCAAGAAAAATATGGTGAAGCAAGGAAACACAATGTTCATGGAGCATAATGAAATTGAAGAGCAACTGGAAAAAGAAGAAAAGCATTCGAAGCCTCTAATGTTAATGCCAATGGTTTTTGAGGTGTTTGCTTTTACAAGGCCACTAGATCAAGACACAAAGACAGATGAAGAAAAAGAAGAGGAATATGATGAGCCTCATTTTGACAAGAAAAACCCGAAAAAAGACAAGAAAAAAGCTAAATACATGCGAAAGAGGAAAGAACCTAAGCAAAATCACAAAGAAGATGTCAATTCAAGAATGCAAGAATGCTCAAGAAAGACATTCAATAGGCAGGTTGCCTATAAACAAACAAGGCTCAAGATGATGGAGAACAGAGAGGTTACACTTCCACTTGACTCAATGTAGACTGGAAATGAGTTCGACTCACGACTCTTCAAAAAGAAGCGTTTCTCAGGAGACAACCTGATGTTTTTAGAGTCTGCATTTTCTTTTTTAGTTAGTATTAGTTTTATTTTTCATTTTAGTTTTATTTGATCTTAACCACATGATGATGTGTTTCTCTAATTCTTGATCTTATTTTATAGTGTTGAACGAAAGTGAAGCAGTGAAGGACCTTAATTTGAAGAAGCCGTGCGATTTTTGAAGAACATAATTGAAGAACAAGTTTTGGAATAAGTGTGGGTTTCCCACATAATGAAGAGAAAAGCATTTTGAAGCATATTTACTAAAGAGAAGAGTGGGAATGATCTTACACATTCCAAAGAGTCGATGTCTACCTGTTTCAATTTTATAAGATACTATAATAAGACACCATGACATGGACATCATCAACATGTCGTGGCAAAAATTTTTATCGTGACTGGATCTGAGTACACCACGGCGTGGCATCCTTAAACCACATCGTGACAGCGGTTCATCGCATTTCTTAAGAATGGTTCTTTGATTTCAATCTATCCGGCACATTCACATCCACAAGAACAAGGTCCTGAAGTACTATTTCTAGCAATTATATGAGAAGTCTAAGCTTTCCACACAAGTATCAGAGTTCAATCTTGCCACTACTACCCAAGGGGAGTCTGTTCCAATTCTTCCTTTTTTATTTTTATGTTCTTTAATTGTTTTAGTATGCAATGGGGACATTCCATCATTTAAGTGTGGGTAGGGGTGAATTTAGGAAAACAAGCATTCTGATTAAAGAAATTAAAAAAAAACCATCTAGGATTTAAAAAATTATTAGAAATATCTGAAATAATAATCTAAAATTAAATCTAGTGATAATTAACAAATTAAATGCCAATATTGGTTGGGATGATCCGATGAGAGTCCAAATATTTACATGAGCTAATATATGTTATAGTGTATTTGTGGCTTCCCATCCCTAGTGAAAAGTAATGAGATATGAAAGGTAATCTGGTAGTTTGTACAATGTAATAAGTTTTACAACATGTACCTAAAATCTATCAAGGAGAGCTTATGTAGTCATTGCACTTAGACTAATATATCTAACCAATGAAGGTTGACATTAAGACCCTTGCTTAAGCATGTAGGATCGAGCGAAAAAAGTGAGATATTTATAAAAATGGAGAGAGAAAATTACCAAAAAAAAGTTGTAAGAATTTTTGAACTATAAAAGTATGAAGATCAAAAGATAAAAATTCTGAAGAATCAAAAATTGAAGATACCAAAAATCAAACATAAAAGTAGTGAATTCAAAGAAATCGAAGATCAATTATTCAAAGAAGTGCATAATTCAAAGAGCTCCATTATGGTATTAAAGTTGTAATTTTTCTAGATTATATATGCTTGGGTAGCTAAACCAAAAATACCTTGAGGTTAAGAGAGATTCTTGAGGATGGATTCGGAGGGTTGCACAAATGAGTGTCTGTAGCATCCTTTTTATTAAATAAAATAAATAGATAAAATTGATGAATGAATAGTAGCCCTATAATCCATAATATTTAGTGGGGTGTTGGTTTTGGGAAGCCAAATGTTATAATTTGGATTATTCAGGGGTTAAAGTGTAATTTTAGGATTTATTTTTAAGATTTTTAGAAGACAAGGGGGTGTTTGGTAAAATATTGGACTTATTAGGAAAGGATTCTTGGAGACACGGGCTAAAGGGTAAATTCTGGATTTAAATTGAAAAAGATTTTGAAGTGAGGGGATGAATGGTAAATATGGGAGTTGTTTTAAAAAAGATTTGATGGGGAGGGGAAAAACTGGATAAAAGAGCACAAATTTGAAAAGAATGTGCGACTTGAACCCGGTGCATTTTCTTCCCGTTTAAAACCCATCCATGCTAAACCCTAACCCTAATGTAACCCCTCCATCCACCACCTTATACCTCCTAACCGTTGGCCGTCATCACCACCCGCTTCCCTATTGCATTCCGACAGACGAAGTCCGAATGACCGCCGCATGCTGCCTCACCATCAAGATTACATAGTGGCATTGCTGCCTGTGATGTCATGCACGGACGAGAGAACCACCTTGAGCAATGCCAAGGCTGCCGGAGACGACGTTAGAGCGGTGTTGATGGCGCTCTTAGACGCTCCTCTTCCTCCTCGTTCTTCTTATGTTCATTCTATTCGCCATCATTCATGTTGCCGGTATCAAGGAATAACTGCCAAGGAATCACGTCGTCTGCCACTGTTGTCGTGTGGCTAGCTGTCACCGTCGTTGCCTTGCGGCTGGTTCATTCTGTCAAGGTTCTCTGACGTCTTTCTATCGCCGTTAGGGCCCCGGTTGCGTGTTGTAGCCTCAGTTTGGTTGTGGTTTTCGTATAAGTATGTACTCATCATAATTCTTATCATTGTATATTTATTGTATGTGTATGGGGTGTTTATGTGGCCAGAAAACCAAGAAAGCTACCACCACCGTGAGGTGGTGGCTGCCACCATGTACCACTGCCGATCACCACCAGGGTAGTTGTGTACGTGTGTTTATCTTAGTGTGTGTGTGTTTATTTAGGATTTGGTGTTGTATGTTGTAAATGATGACTAAATAATCAAAGAAAACCGATAACCACAATTGTAAGGTGGTGGCTGCTGCTACCAGCCACTATGTTGGGTGGTGGTGTGCTTTTGCTTGTGTTAGACTGCTTTTGGGATGTTTGGACATAATTGGACTAGAACCATAACCACCACCATGAGGTGGTGGCCGCTGCCACGATCCACTGTTGATCACCACTACTCGAAGTGGTAGTGGGTAGTGCCCGACTTGTCTAACCCTAATTGACCTAGTGAAAGCCTAATTTGACCCAAAACTTCACAAATGGACTAATTGGAATACTATTGGGTTGGAAACCCTAATTAGGGTTTGGAAAACCCTAATTTTGGAAATGTGAGATTTAGAATTGTTAGGACCCGCATTTGGACTGTTAGATTGGAATTTTTAATTATGTCCGACTAAATCGTATGAATGGCCTAGTATATTGATAGGCGTAATGGATTAAGTAGGAACACTTAACCCTAATCGTCATTTTATATGAAAAACCCTAATTGGGTTTGGGTTCTTTTTGGGCCATTTATTGGACTAAGTTGCTGTGGGCCTTTGTGGGCCAATTAGGAACATCTTTATGGACTAAGGAAATTATTGGGCTTTAGGATAAGGCCCATTGGAAAGGCTTGGGCCTAATTTAGAAAATTAGGCCATAAGTGGGCCAAAATTGGGCCTTGATGATTATGAGACATTAGATCACCGAAATGCCAACAGTTTAAACTAGAATAAATGGTTGGGCCTCGAGTTAAGTCCATGTATAGGTTTGGGCCCAATTTGGAAGATTGGGCCATATAGGGCTTTGGTTGATTATTGGGCTTTTGGGCCTTCAGAGTGTGATTTTGGGCCTTGGTTTTGAACTGTGACATCCCTATTTTCACGGCAAGAAAAGACCGATTTTTGTTTATGCTTTATAAAAATCAGAGTACTTCTTTTAATAAAAATGTTGCGGAATTTGTTCCCGGAAAAACATGATAAATACGTTTTTTAAAACATTTTCGAAGAAACGTATTTTGTTCATTTAAAACATTTGGGATGTCATCGTTAATACAGAAACATAAGCATAAACAGAACTTACATTTATTTACACTAGTGATCTACATCTCTTTAAATCTCTCAGTGTAATGTGACTTCATATCAACACCTGTGATATAAATAAACTGAGTGGGTCAGGTTGGGAAACCTGGTGAGTACATAGGGTTTTCAACCCACAATAATATAATTATTATTTTCAAACAATCAAACAATCAACCCAATTACCCATCCCTATTATCTGCTTTATTCTTAAGGATCTACCCTAAGAATCAACTATTCCTCGTTCATACATTCCTAAGGATCATCCTAAGGAATCGGCACGAAGTCCATCGTCACCGGGGTTTAGGCACTAAGTCTGCATAGTCGCCAGAATTTATACAATAGGCACTAAGTCTGCATAGTCGCCAAGGTTTTGGCACCAAGTCTGCATGATCGCCAGGGTCTAGGTATCAAGTCTGCATGATCACCAAGGTTTAGAGTACACCGGGTGAACACATCGTTCACAACACCTACAGGTTGCGAGCCTGATAGTGTTCCACTGGACTATCTAGGATAGTCCGTGGTTGTCATCCATACTCTGCTGAATGACGGGGACATCGTTTGGAAAAAGGCTTCTCACATCGTACACCTCTCACCCACACCTTATAGTCTATATCACCTCTCAACTCATCATCCAACTCATATTTCATCTATTATATCTACCCATGTTTTACCCCAACATTTTCGTAGATATAAAATACATATATAGTTTAAATCATTTAAAACATGTATAAAATCTTTCACTCAGCATAGACAGCAAGTATTCAGACAATATGCACACATAGCACGTAATTTATATTAAAATACTTCATATCTATGTGTAAGATGAAAGGGACTATGCACTCACCTGAGAAGGTGGTGACTCGGTACTCGGACAGCGCTTCGTTTACTTTAAAATAATTTCCTTTGACGAAACCTAGTATTATCACCACTAGATTTTAGTCTAATATTACCGTGACTAATTATTAGTCTTATTATTATTATTATTATTATTATTATTATTATTATTATTATTATTATTATTATATAAGCGTTTGAAAAATACTTTCCAACTACTATGTACAGACAGGGGCCAGACATAAAACACCGGAGGGCAGGACCATTTTGGCGTATAGCACTTCTGAAATCCAACAACCCTATGCGGCCCTTTAAACCAGATTCCCCGTACCGCGAGTAGTTAAAAGATATTATAACGACACTTATATAAGTCATAATAATAGCTCAAATATTTATTATAAATTTATAATAACAATACTAATTTTAAATATAAACTATATTTAAAATAGGGTAAGCATAACTTACTTTCAAGGGGATTTTAGCTAGGAGTCGGGCTC